CTGGTGTTGGAACCATAGCTGATCAACGGATCCTTCTGTGTATCAAAAAGTTTCAATATGAACATGTCTTTAATTATAAGTTTTATTTTAGATATAATAATTTTTGTATAGGGTGACCTGACAGTAAATTTTAACATCACTGAGTATGTAATACAAGTGATATAACTAGAAAAAAAAATTTCATACATCTGAGAAACACATATCACTAGCTCACATTCACCATTGCTATGTAAAAATCTATTTTATGGAAGGTATTTGAACGTATCCTCACTGTCTATCTCCTGCTACAGACGACAGCTGCAAGTCCTCTCTTTGGGAGGAATAACCTTACAGTAATCTAAGAAGGATTAATTCATTTTCCAATTTATCTTTTTGTACAGGGAATCACCAATTAGTACAATGATCTGCCTCAGTAATGAGGCTAATATTTCATTAGCTCATTGGAGAGTAAAATTAAATTTTCATTTTTCTTCCTTAACAATTACAGTGGTTAACCAAAGAAACTTAACTGTGAAGTGCCCGTCTCAAACTAAATACACTTTTCCTCCAAATTACAGGCTTATATGGGAGATAGAGAAATTTCTCAAAAATTCCTAATAAAAAGTCACTACTTTTATGAAATCTTTTACAATTTACACAGGCTAAGTGTAGTAAAGTACACACAAGCACACACAAGCACACTCAATGCCTTTACTAACACAGCTCTAGCCTAAAAAGACCAAACGCAAACATTGGGATTTAAAAATGTACATTCATTAAGTAATGATGATATTCTCAAAATTAGATTTACATTAATATTATGTTTTATGTATAAATAATCTAAAAACCCCAAGTCTTCATGTCCCTTCAGGCCTCTATCACCCTCAGCCTGGCATCCTCAGTGGGAGCCAGCTCTTTCCCAGTGAGTGAAAACTGGTCATGGAAGGTGAAAAAAAACTTATTGTTTTTATATATAAAGCACAGATCTGGTACACAAAGAGCTATGCAGTGTATTGGTGGCATTACAATTTCATCAGGGAGCAATTAGGAACAAAAAGCCCAAACAGGCTCTTGAGGGGGCTGGTCATGGACAAAGGCTGAGAAACACTGTCCCTATGTGATACCACAGGTGACAACGTGTTAAAGCTCAGAACTACTATCTGGCTACTTGAAAATCTATTTTCAATGTTTTCGCATGACAAATACTCCTCTGCTTACATCGCCACAAAATGTCTTGACTTTCTTAGTGGAAATAAGATTGGTTTAAGACTGATCATGCAGGGAATTCAGTTAATGTTTTAAATCTTATTTACTAATAGAATCTGAAAGTTAATTTAATATTCTTGTTTTGTTGAGAGTTCTGACATACTTATACCTAAACATATTCTCCAAAGAACACATCCCTCAATATTGTCATTACCCAGGTTACTGCATGACACCCTGATAAATAGTCAATGCTAGTTATTGTTGGGGAGATAGAAAACTTCACTTTGACAAATATTTAATTGTAAATGATGTACTTTTATCAAAGTTTAAAATATCTGGTATTTTTTTATAAAATAAGGTTGTCTCAATTCCACCAGACAAATGTCTGCTGTTTCATCTGACAAAATGAAGCAGAGGTTATCTGTATTCAAAGCGAAACGAGGTATCTCTGTCCCATACTTTTTGGCTAGCCAGACTTACTATAACTAGACTAACTGTATCAAGTTGTATGAGTCAGAGAACTGGTTTATTGAGATGCAAGCCTCATCAAAACTGAAGTTGTGGCCTCCAGCTTCCAGCCACACCACACTCGTCGGCATATGGTGCATCAGGTAAGTACATTGGTGATTACTGATCATTTCCGAGGCTACTGACAATCCAGCCTACGTGAGACACCAGGTCACCCAGACATTTCTGAGACCAAGCTCATTTTGTAAATGGAATGAACTGAAATAGTGAATAACTGTTATATTTAAACGATTGAAATTAGTAGGAGATTTGTTGTATTGAGGCAACACAGATAGTAGCAAATAATTGCTAAAATGTTAGAAATTT